GAAGGACACGGACCTGTTGGAGTGGGTCCAGGGTAGGGCCATGAAAATGATCCTGGGGCTGGAGCACCTCCCCTATGACGACAGGCTGAGAGAGTTGGGGTTGTTCAGCCTGGAGAAGAGAAGGCTCCAGGGAGACCTTATAGTGGCCTTCCAGTGCTGAAAGGGGGCCTACAGGAAAGGTGGGGAGGGACTGTTTACAAGGGCACGTAGTGATGGGATGAGGGGCAATGGTTTTAAACTAGAAACGGGTAGATTTAGATTGGATATTAGGAAGAAGTTCTTTACCTTAAGGGTGGTAAAGCACTGGAACAGTTTGCCCAGAGAGGTGGTGGAGGCCCCATCCCTGGAGACATTCAAGATCAGGCTTGATGAGGCTCTGGGCAACCTGATCTAGCTACAGATGTCCCTGCTCACTGCCGGGGGGGGGTGGACTAGATGACCTTTGGGGGTCCCTTCCAGCCCAATGCATTCTATGATTCTATGAATGAAGAAAAAAAAAGTCTCTGTGGGAAGAAACAGTGCCACTAAAGTGGTTTTCCATGTGTCTGAGTTCTGTGCAATTGCATCATGAGTCCAGATAAGATCTTGCTTCTGGTGGAGATCAATACCTGGTGCTTCAGGGGGAGCTAAAGATGATGAGAAAAGCCAGAGAACCTCTAGTTGAGTGTCTCTAGCTCTTTGCAGAGATGAGGAAATGCCTCCCTCTTGCAGATTAGTGATCAGTGTGTGCTCTGTAGTAGCCATTCACCTGGAGATAGCAAGCTGATGAAGTTGATGGCTCTGGACATAAGCAGGTTTCTTTTGTCATGTATTCTGACTAATAAAGATGAAGGGGCATGGAAAGAGATAGAGGGAGAAGTCGTGAGACAGCAGTTCTTCCATTTGACAGCCCCATTTGCCAAGTGTGTAAACCTCATGCATTCCTGTGGTGGTCATTACAGTTCTCCCAGAGCATCTCTGGTGGGGGAACAATCAAGGCAGATCCAGCGAGTGAAGTTTCGTTCGACAGGATGCCATCACGTGCATTTCTCACAGCGATATGGCTGATTAGAGTATAACATATTGCATAATAAACATATGGTGCAGAATTGCTCTACAAGGCTGCCGAGTCAGTGGGTAGCAGGGGGCTAATGCTACTGAACTGTGCTGTGCACAAGGGAGGGTAAGGCAGAAAGGCCATTACACTTGTTTACTGATAGATAACCCTTATATATTCTTTGACTCCCCTCTCGCTGTTTCTCTTCCCTCTAGGCCATATGTGGACCTAGTGAATATCCTGCTCACCTGTGGCGAGGAGGTGAAAAAGGCAATAACAAGAAGTGTCCAGGCCCAGTGCGAACAGAACTGGGGAAGTCTCTGCTCCATCCTGAGCTTCTGCACCTCGGCTGTGCACGGTGACACCATCCTGAGTCCTGAGAAGAAGCTGGGTGAAGCCAGCAAAGCCACTTCTGGCCGCGGGGACATGCTGGCCCACTCCGACTCTGACCACAGAGAGAGCTCGCGAGCATCTAAGGGAGAGAGAGGTACTAAGGGCCACTTGAATGCCCATGCCCGCGTGAAAGCTGGGGGCCACGGTCCCAAAGGGGCACACGGGATCATGGACCGGGCAGACGAACTGTCCGACTTCTCTGACATCCGGAGGTGAAAAAAGGCACCAACTCCCCGTTACCCCCATCCTCCCCCTCCACTGGAAACCTCCTCTGTTGAGTCCCATCTTCCCGTCTATGGACATTCCAAAGCATTTCCCATTCAGAGGTCAAGCACAGGGCATTGCAAGATATATATATATATGGACCTCAGCAACAGTGTATATAGTAGCAAAGGGAGAGCAGTGGCAATGGGTTATCAATCCAGCAAACTCAACACTTGAGCAGCCACCAAATGTGGTAAAATGTCTCTGACTAAATTCTTTTCCCCTTTTTTTGTGAAACAGACATCAGCTGAAATTTAGGATCTTGTTTGGGGGTTGTTGTGTTGTGGGGGGGGGTTGGTTTTTTTTTCCTTGGTCCCCTTGGCTGAGGAGAAGGTTCCAAGAGGGCTCTGCCAGATTGCATGTGGCCGCATGTGGCTTAGCACCTCCGAAGGTTTAGGGCACACCCTTACAGCAGATGGCTGAATTCCAGGGGGATTTGGTTTCTGCTTGTGGCTGAGAATGCAAGAGTGCAAGGCTCTCTATGTGACACTCTCTAATGAAATAGCGACCCCGTCTCTCACACAGGAACCATGCGGTCTGGAGCTCCATCGCTTTCTCTTAACTAAATTCTGAGCCATTATTCCCATCTGGGTGATGCTGCCTAGTTTAAGTGCCCCTTGTTTGTTTTTTAACCACTGCATATAACTTGATACTTGCTAATCCAGTCACTTCAGCATATCAAAGGCAAGTAGTCAGCTTCCAGACAAGGCAACGTGACTGTTAAGACTTGCACAGTGTGGAGGACCCCCAAGAGTATGCTCGTGGATCTCTGAAAACCCTGTGCATATTCTCTGCTTACACCTGCCCGCTCAGGTCCTCCACCCCTATGGACAGCCCAAGGTTAAAGGATGGGCATAGGCTCAGACAGTGAAGGACCCCATATATTTAGTTCTTCTGCAGGGCTGCATTGAAAGCCTATCAGAAATCTGTCTCTCCTTAGCAGTAGCATGGTGCGGTTTGCTGGGATGTGGAGCCCCACTCTAACCTGCCTATCAGCTGTGGTTTATCCAAATGCCAAAGATAAGGAGAGGGGGTTGACTTGGGTTTTTTTAATCGTCATGCAGAGAATGACCACTGGTTTCTGCAGAATGAGTTACTAAAAATTAAGAGTGTCAAGAGCTTATTGTCTCTAAGCAGTTTTAAGTGTGAATGAGGTATTTGGACACATCTCTCCTACCCCCTATGCAATTGTAATTCTCAGGTTGCAGATCTGCAATCCTATATCCCCAGATATTGTACTGGAAATGGAGGTTTCAGCATCCACAGGGACAGAAGGGTGAGCTCTTCAGCTTCCTCTAGAGAAAAAGCGAGTTTTCTTAGAAAGTGGGAATCACACCAGGGATTTGAGCCTTCTCATTTAGAAAGTTTGGGAGGAAAGCTGTGGGGGCAGGAAGGCAGTTCAGTAGAGACAGAACGTACCCAGTGAACTAACGTACGTCTTGTCGCATGGTGGGAAGGAGCTGTATAAACAGCAGAGGGTGTTGGAATTTGGCTACAATTTCCAACTCAGATTTTAGTTACTGCTAAGTGAACACAGCTCCTAATAGCTATATTCAGGGTTTAATGCACGTATCCACCCGCAGAAGTTATAGGCATTGCTTTTAATAGAAGCCACGTAGGAAGCAGGAGAGGACCGTTAAGTTGAAAAGGTGTGTCTCTATGTGATCACCAAGTGGTTGTTTAAAGACATGACCTTGATCCTGCCTGACATTGGCAAAGTTCTGTGACAAAATTTTTGTTTGACTTAATTGGGAAGAGGTGGGGTCGGGCCAGGTACTGTAGTGGCGAAGACCATGCTGACCTGAGGAGCGGAGCTCCTGGCAGTGAGTGCCAGCTGCCCGTTGGGTGGTGGTACAGCTGTCCCACGGATGGGGCACCCAGGCTGTCCCGCGGGGGAGCATGCCAAGGTTGGTTCAGGCCTGCCTCTGGTGGCCAGCTCCTCTGCTCCAAATCCAAGTGGCTGCTGGTGGTACCATAAGAAGGTTTCTAGCATGCCTCCATGGGTTTCCTGTGAGCGTCCTCTCCCCCTTGGTGGTGTACAGCCACCATGAAGAACAAGCTCAAACCAAAAAGACAATCCAAACGTTTTAGCAAAAAGAAAACAACAAACAGAAAACAAACGCAAACCAGAAACAACAACTGACTACCAACGTGATGTGCTTGCGTTGAACTAAAATAAGATCCCTCTCTCATTAGAGGTCTGATTCATCAATGGGAACCAAACATACAGATCTACATCCTTGAATGTCTCCGTCAACATATCACCTCAGCATGCATACAGTTTTATTTGTATTCATTCGTTTTGTGGGGGAAATTGTATATTCCCCTTGTTTAGTCAATGATAATTTGGGGGAGGGGTGAAAGCTGTGGGTGGGAGGGATTTTTGTATAAGGCATAACTTTTTTTTTTCCTCTGTGTGTGAAGATTTTATGTGTTCATCTACTGATTCCACATATGCTATTATTGTAAATATTTAACATTTCTATTTATTATAGTGTCTCCATTTAAAAAAAGAACACTGCTGGCTATGATAATTTAAACGTACATTATGACCTGTGTTGTATATATTCATGCCACTAGTATGTTTTTTTTATGTTTAAAGCTGCGTAAATATAGTTTTATACAGTTCCATAATGTTATTGACAGCATAAATCATTTATTTATTGTTAAACCTTCTTTCATATCTAACAAATAGGGTGCGTTTTACCTGAGATTATTTTATTGTGACATCTACATAGCCTTAATTCTTTATAAAAAAAGAAAAAATTGTCCATTTAGATACTGTATGATGCTTTAATTAACATTCCTTATGAACTTCCTGTTCATGAAGGAGGTTTAGCTTAAAAGCCAAGGTATGAATGTTTCCTTTATGCTTTGCATCTGGAATGAGCCTTGTTCTAGAATGAAAATACTGGGAGAAGCAAAATGCCTACTGGAAAAAGAGCAGTAAACCCTGGAAAATGCTGTCCTAACTTAAAGTGCTGAACTAAAAGGAAAAAAAAAAAAAGAAAAGAAAAAAAAAAAGAGAAACTGTCCTTAATTCCAAATCTCTGGGAGAAAAACATACTAGTTTTATCTCATGTAGAATTTGCAGCCAAATAAGCTTGTAAAAAAAGAAAATGCATATGGCTTTAGACAAAGCTCTGTACCTTTCACACTATTATTTTCCTTAAACGCTAATAAATGTTTTGAATAAGTCTGTGGCTGGGTTTTGTTTAGCTGGAATTTCAGCTGCTGTGATAAGGGGTAGGAAAAGCCCTCTGAAGCTGGGCCAGCAGCTTCAGCCGCGGGGGCAGAGGTAATCTGTCTGCCCGTCCCCTGTGCCAGCCGGGCGGCGGCAGAGGTGCCCTGGCTGGGGCAGGACGCGGGGATGGAGCCAGCCCTTCCTCTCTGGGTCCAGGGGAGAGCCAGCGCAGGGGCAGAGACCTCACCGGCGTGTCATTCCCCCAGGGGAGCAAGACCTCGGCTGCTTCGTTGGGACCTGTCTGGTTTGAGGGCAGAAAGGCAGATGCGGAACAAACTAAAGGCTGAAAAACAGAGGGAGCAGAACCTCATGCCATTCTCGGGGTCAGACAAAGCTCCTGCTTGTTTTGGGAGGGTTTTCCCTTAGCAGGAGCTATGGATTGGGTTCGCTGCAGCATGTCAGAGTTGCCTCATCTGCTTTAAATTAGTCTGTATTCAGGTTAGGAAGGGAGTAGGGGGATGCAGGTGCTCGTGGATTTCTTCTCACTGCCCCGATGATCTCGCATTACAAAATCCCCTCGGGAGGTTGGCAGTGGCACCACACGGTGCTCAGCTGCGTTGGTTGTGGGCGCAACTCAGCACCCCATAAGGGCCAGGTGGGTGATGTTGGCTGGCCACAGCACCTGCCTGCAGGCAAGGTGTCAGCAGCCCCCAGCACGGGGCCAAAGCCCTAAGTGCTGGATTTCAGCCAGACCCATTAACAAATACAACAGCAATGCTTTCTAAAAGCTCTAATAGCTGAGAAGGTTTGTCCTGCATGTATGAAAGACCCAGTCAGCTCATGTAATAGCAAGAGTTATCCCTTCAAGGTGTTACATTAAAAACAGAGGACATGCATTTGGCTCACCACTGTCAGCTATTAATAATCTATCAATAAGTACCAGCCAGTGGCTCTGTACAGAGACATACCAGGCATGGACAGTAGCTGTAATTCACTCTCTGATCACTCCATCACCATCCCAGCAATGATCAGATATCAAAATCTTATATGCTTAGTGGAGTTTCAGCGAAGGAGAAAAGCAAAATCGCAAGAGACACAAAAAACAAGCTGCAGAAACAGCACTTTGTGTTGTCTCTAAAGTCATTTTCATACAGTGTTGGGGTGTAGGCAGCAAGGGGATGGGGAAATTATGAGGAAGCACCTCAGAGCATAAAGCATGGGTTTTTTTTAAGGCTGCTTGTATGAAAAAGCACATTTTTAACACTCCTTCTGTAGGGTTTAAAAATAACTAATCCAGTTGAAGCCTTTGGATGAGATGGGCTTCACATGCCTAAATGTGATTTGCAGCAATCTAGGACCTGTGGCACTTCTTTGCCTTTAGGTGCAACAGCTCTTTATAATCCTGCCATGGACTGTCATCAAACACCAACAGGAAAATCTATCATCTTGCAAGCAGAGATGTGATAGAGTTTGGTGGGATGTGATCTCAGACCAACCTGCAGTCAGACTAGAGTCAAGCAATAGCTTCTGCTGGTGTTGGACCACTCATTTGGCATTGCCTTTTTTTGCAGGAGCTGGTCCACACCATGGCTCTTGTGCACCTAAGGTAACAGCATTGTGCCCTCTACCATCCTTTCAATTTCAACTAGAAAAGTTATTTTTCGTCTCCTGATGCGTAAAGTGGTGAAACTGCATTCTGCTGCAAAAAGTGGCTAGACATTTGTGATGGAGAAGTGACCCTTACCTTCCCTTAAGGCATCACATCACA